TTTAGATTAACTTATAAATTAAAGTATATTTTATTGAAAAAAAAAAACAGAATGCATATTATCTGGCACATCTGTCCGTTTCTTAGTTTTCCTTCTGCAATCTACAACACAGTCCTAATCTATTACACAATTTTGGGAGCTCTACATAGTTTCTTATTAAAAACACAGAGGAGTGTATGATTTTCCGTATGTGGACAGTATACAGGTTGTAGACTTTAAACTCTACGCGCAAATGCAACTGTAAATCAGGCTCAAAGTGACCACGGAATTGAAAAAAAAAGATTTTTTGCCGAAACATCCTTCCTTTCAGTACACAATTGAAATAAGGCGTAATTTGCTACCCAATCACTACACAATAGGATATTTGGTTTTGTTTCGCATTGCATGTAATGCATTTATAATGGAAACGACAGTCAATAGAAAACGTCGTGCTACTTAAGCAGTTTTTTAGCTAGTGCGGTCTTTGTAGATAACCAAAAAATCATACGTTCAAAAGCAGGTATTCTAACGTGCCTACAGTTTCCTTAGGACTACGTTTCACGATCATCAATATTACAACCCCACTTACGTAATTCTTTCTAATCGAACATGCATTTCAGCATTTCAGTTTAACTTTATTAAGGGACCTATGGGCGAGTGCCTTTGAGTCCCTGTAGGTAATATAATAACTAAGAAGTGTATGGATACAGAAGAAAATAATAAAAAGGTCGCTTACCAAGTTGTAGGCGAAGAGGGAGCAGCCGTCGGTTGATCGAAAGTAGTGAACATACACGCCTACTCAATTATTATGAGTGGTATAAATGCGTACGATTGGTTTGATCGCATATATTAGTGTGTAGTGGGTTAACCTTTCACGATATCTGTCACTGACTGTATGTTTGGTGAATTAAACTTTATCGGAGGAAGGTCTATTTACCGATCAGATTATAAGGCGAACGCATTGCCTTGTGCCGTCGCGTTTGGAGCCACCAAAGACGCTCGCGCAGCACTCAGTGCTGTATGCGGATAAGGATTGCCAGCAAAGACAGGCGTTTGAGGTGTATTTGATGGTTTATTGCCTGGGCTTCGAAAGTGGGTTTTTTGGTCATTGAGCGTTAAGCAGTTGAACGTTGTATAACGGTGCGGTGGTTACGCCCTGTCGGGAGTAGGAGTATACCTTATTTTTCGGTACCTCTTCTTTGCATAAATTACGGGTCGCCTTCGAAGGCTCTACAGGGATCTCCAAGGCGCAGGGGAATGAACACGTCCTGCATCCTTATTGGTGAACGTACCTTCCTACGGTATTGAATATGACCGTTCACAACCGACCGAAAAACAAACCCATGCTCCAATGTAAAGAATTTTATTAAAGCTTTGAGTCACTGGTTTATAACCGAAACTGAATGCCTTGTGTCCCTCGTCACCCTTCCCGAAAATTAATCGGACTATTTTTGTGTATCCTCAGTTCTACCACCGTCTTCACTTGCACGTCCTACGTAGTTTTATGATCATGGTAACTAGTTTCCAGAAGTTTACGTTGAATCAAAATAAGTCTGTGAGCACAACCACCGTGTGTTCTGGAATATTTCCGATTACAGTCCACAAGACGTAGGTCCGTGTTTGAAGTGCATCGGGCTTCAAACCTCAGGTCTTCTTGAGTATGCAGACAAGTCACTAACAATCATCTCTGTATGCATCACATTAACCGATAACACGCCTGCATTGCAGACGTTTTTTTCTCTGGAACTTATACAGTGGAACCTCGGATAACGGGTTTAATCCGTTCTGGCACCGAGCTCTTCTTGCGAAAAGTAGCCAATCATACTGCATCAGTTCACTGATTGGCTGCAGGCGACCAA